TGTTTTTCCTCTGTACACGGATAGGAATATTCTCTTGAATTTCAAGGGTATGGGAATCTAACTCTATGAACTTGGCACAAAAATCTGTGTCCTCTATTTAAAAATAATTCCTTAGATGAATTAAGCGTTATCTCTGTTTTGGTTTAGTAATTTTAGTAAAATTAGTTACTTATTCCAAAATAGCAGAACATCGACATATATGATCGACCATCGACATATACAAAAGCCAAATGGTTTGGGACAAGAATATACTCTTGATTCAAGAAAATATTGTTATTAGTGTACATCTCATTTGTTACATTCCTAAAACAAATTCATACATTTCTACATTTCATACATTAAAATATGCAAACGTCCGCAATCGGTGAGAATAAATGTCGAATTACTACTCTAATAATAAATCTGATCAAGCTGAGTGACTACGTGCCGTTTTTTTTCTGCTTATTGCGAAATGGATTATTTTTATTCAGCGTTTTCTCGGCCGGCAACGTGGTGTGTTGCAAAACGTTCTGTCAGACGGCACGTCGCCAAAACGTAAATAAAATGAAATAACCGCCACTGTACAGCTAGAACTGTTTTTACGTACAATATAATGTTGACCGGGATATAGAGAAAAAAAATCTATTAAGTTTTCCTCGTCTCGACATTTATAATCGTGGTGCTGACCCTACAGAAATAAAACAAAATAAGTGTTCTTTTATTTTAACTATGTTTACATGTTTTTTAACGTCTGGTAGAAGCTGGTAGTCTCATTTCTGAGAATCAATTTCATTTAGTTTTGTAATTTAAGGAATTACTTCGTTTTGAATAGTTATTATTATTATTTTGTATGTGATACTTATATTTTTCGCCTTGTTACATTTGAAGTGATACTTCCTTACGCGCGATAGGAGTAAAAATTGAAGGCCGTGATACACGAGATGCTTCAGAAACATGGTAATGATCGGAGGATAAGACGGAACGTCGTAATTCGGGCCCTATATGAGTTACGGACTGAAACTCGGAATGTAGATGGGGCTCGAATAGTGAGCGACGATGCATACGGTCACACCCTGTAAAGCTTGATACGACGCGCGACGTTTCGTTTAATCTATATGAAGGTGGGACTAACGATTCTATATTGAAGAAAAATATGGGTCGATTTCGACATAATTGGAGACGTGCTACAGAATGACGTCCTCAATGTTTCGAACCAATGCCTCTAAATGGACGAAATTATCAGGATTTTTCTTAATTATGGGTCGATTGGAATCAAACTCGGCACGTGGATAGAGGTACCCGAATGGAGTTCTCAGACGGACAGACGGGCAGATGGAAAAAAGTTTATAAAAATATGCACACATAGTGCACACACATTTTTTTTTGTTAAAGTAAATAAAGTTAATTCACTCCAACTTCGCTGTAGATAAAGCAAGAATCTTCATTTTTAGTAATCAATAGGACATACTATAACTATAACTGTCTATTACTGATATGTATTTCTTTCTTTTTTTTGAGACGAAGAATATCTTCAAAAGACCGTTTAATCTATCCAAAGTTCCGAAGCATCGTCTAGATTTTTTCCTAGTGATGAAGGGTCAGTCCATCGCCTCAACTTCCAGCCTGGAGGACCAGGTGATTTGTCGTTAGAGTTCTCTTCTCCTAGCGTTTGATGATTTAATATCGATAACTGCAAAGTAGCAGCTTCACCTGTACCCTTGGCAGGGGCCCTCACAGAGTGTTATCATCTACGCCAGATAAACTCTGGTGAACTTCGTCTAGTTGTTTGTTGTTTAATTGGTTTGGTTTGTTTTGGTTAGGTTTAGGTTAGGTTAGGTTAAGTTCGCGAACTGGTTGGTTTCAGTTCGCGAAGTGGATATCCATTTCATGAAACGGACAATTAGACTAAGTGGGTGCGACATATACATTTTATGTGTTTGATTGCTTTTTTTTAAAGTTGTGTCTAAGTGCACGTTAACGTGTACCCTATTATAATATTTAGGTACACGGAAAAACCGGAAAGCTCTCCGCACTAAGTAATGTGTAGCTATAGCCTGGTTACAGTTGAGGGTTGGAACCTTTGGTGTTACACAGCAAAATAAAAACACTAAATCACCACAATACACCAAAACACTTTTACTTTTACGCTGGACGCGCGTTTCGCTAACCATGTTAGCATCATCAGCAGATGATTATAAACTGAAAAAACCAGTTTATAATCATCTGCTGATGATGCTAACATGGTTAGCGAAACGCGCGTCTAGTGTAAAAGTAAAAGTGTTTTTGTGTATTGTGGTGATTTAGTGTTTTTATTTTGTTTTATAGACTGGTTACGAAAGCAGCCTGTGGCTCCGTGGGTGAAGCGATCGCTTCGGGAGTGGGGGGTCCTAGGATCGATCCCCGACAAATGTAGAACTTTTTTTACAGTTGGTCTAATTTTTTTATTTTTTTGCAGCTGTTGGTAATCGGGTAATAACAATCACAATACGCATTTATAATAACTTTAGATTATTTTAACCCTTAAAATGAAACAATCAACCAGATATACCACTTTTATTATTACGTCAGTACAGCTTGTGCTATTTTTAATATTGACTGGTACTCTGGTGCGCTCGTACTGTCGCAGAGCAGGCGCGTTCGCGAGGCCTTGCCCAGGCCCCTCCCGTCGGTGGTAAGCCAGAGCCATCTAGAGCGTCGTTGCGCATGCTGATCTCGCTCGGCCACCCTGCTGTCATGATGTCATTTTTATCATAATGTTAACACGGCCATTCTGCAGGTGGGGCGTCCTCGCACCAATCTGAAATTAAGAAAACATCAAAACAGTATCGATGTTCATTTCTTATTATCCAAAACTATAAAATAAAAACATTTTTTTTTACTTCGTTTTATTAATCGTTAAACCAAACCACTACCCTGTCTATATTTCAGCATCTAATGTGGGGTTGCCACTGTCTCTAGGCATAGTAGGGTTGCTACTATCCTCTATTATTCAGCATCTAAGGTAGGGTTGCCACCTTCTCTAGGTATAGTGGGGTTGCCACTATTCATACTTTGAATAAAACAGTCATTGGTGGGATCGCCACCCTTATTAGCAGTTGCTAGTGGGAACGCCACTATAAAATCATTCTTTTTGTTACAACAAACAGTATATAGTGAGATCGTCACTAGAATCATTTAAATTATTATTATTGGTGGGATTGCCACTCTTTATTCTAATTATTATTATTGCTGGTGGGATTGCCACCCTTTATTTTAATTATTATTATTGTTGGTGGGATTGGTACCTCTTTATTTTAATTATTATTATTGTTGGTGGGATTGCCACCCTTTATTTTAATTATTATTTTTGTTGCTGGGATTGCCACTCTTTATTTTAATTATTAGTATTGTTGGTGGGATTGCCACCCTTTATTTTAATTATTATTTTTGTTGCTGGGATTTCCACCCTTTATTTTAATTATTATTATTGGTGGGATTGCCACCCTTTATTTTAATTATTATTACTGCTGATAGGATTGCCACCCTTTATTTTTATTATTATTATTGGTGGGATTGCCACCCTTTATTTTAATTATTATTATTGGTGGGATTGCCACTCTTCATAATCATTTGTTTGTGGGATCGCCACCCTAAAGTTGGCAAAGCCAAAATAAAATACAATTTTTAAGATAATATAGTGGGATTGCCACTCACCTTTTTTTTTAAATTATTCTGATGTCCATGTGTCATATGAAAAAAAAATAAAATATAAGATAAAAATAAGAAGGTAGAAGAAAAAGGTAAAAGAGAAATATAAAAGTTATTTTAACTGATACAGAAAAAGCTATAAAAATATATTTACTGTTACAAAAGAGCTATAAAAGGTAACTACCTTACCAATTTGGATAAAAATAATAGAAAGGTAAAAGAAAGGTATTATATAATTATTTACTGATACAAAAATAAAATGTTTACTGATACAAAAAGCTATGAAAGGGTGTCACAATATCAAAACCTTTTTTCTCTTATGACAACAGAAAAACTATAATTTATATTATAGCTGTGTTAAATTAAATAAAACTATGTCACGGTGAGATAATATGAATCAAAAGATAAAGGAAAAGAGACAGCAACAAACTAATAGTTATTATTTAATTATTTAACTCTTACTCCTCAAACAGGTCAATGCCCAAATCGGTAGCTTCTACGGAGAGTAGGGGGGGTTATTACTAAATGTGTCTAAATTAAATATAAATAAGCGCCACCCACTTTCTGGACCCTAAGAGTAAAAGTGATGTTTCTGAAAGAAAGTGGGAAACAAGATACTAAATAAGACAATAAGAAATCACTTAACTCATTTAATTCAGAAGAATCAGCAGCAATCACGATAAAAAGGTAAAACTCTAAATATTGTATGTATGGCTTAAGATGGGAAAATCAATTGTCAATATATCAAATTAAATTATAGAAATATACCAATATATCAGATAAAACTATTTAAATCTTATACTGAAATAAACTTAATAACTCAGTACATTTATATACTAAGGCAAATAATGAAAAGTAATTAACTACAAAACAGTACAGCTGAAAAAGTATCAGCAGTACACAAGTGGTAACTTGAACGATAGTGTCTAAACTTAAAACGGTTAAATCGATATCATAAATCTCAAAATAGTTATATAACAAACGCTATAAATTACTAAAACGGAAATACGTACTCGCGATACTTACTAGTAAGTTCACAGATCGAGACGCAAGTAAAAAGTCTAAAGAAGTTAAACTACAACTATCTTAAATACGCAAAAATAATTAAACTCAATAAACGATTAATAAGACTGTTCGGCGGAAATAACTCAAAACAGTAAAATGAAATGAAATGGGTACTTATCAGGACATTCCAGAATCTCGGTGGTCGGTGACTCAGATGATTGCTGACTTTTGACTGCTTATGAAGACGGCGGACGGTGAGCTGGCTTCAATATCCCATAGTGGTCGGTCTCAGAAGGTCTTCTGGATCAAATGAGCTAGGTGATGAGGTGATGGTTAGCTCAGAACCACATGGTGAACACGGACGGGTGACGTCTTATTCAAAGGGTGACGTAGGGACCTCATGGCAAGAAGAAACGGCAGCAACGGCAACGAATAATAGATCCAGCAGTACAAAAAGGTAAAATGGAGATCAAATCCAAAATTAAATGGAGATAAAAACGAAGTTAAACTAAATTAAATGGCCTGAAAAAGAAGTTCAAAATTACCTTCAAGAAAAACTACAAAATGGCGTAAAACATACCTGAGATGTCATGTGGCCATTCATTAACTCTTTTCTTCAAATTCATACGGTTCAAATAATTGGATAAATCGGAAAACTTCCACTTGAATAGTGCAAACGGCAAACTATTCACTAAATAATTATTTACCAGAATTTGCTATAGAAGATATATCAGCACAAGGCTTGATCCCAGAACGTGTCTACACACAAAGACGGATCGTTCTAGAAGAAAGAATCATGAATGAACACCGGACAAAAAGGGCAGTAAAAAAAACAGCAAATCAATGTTGCCAATAAACCAAATAACATACTCCCTAAGAGCAAAACATGATATACGTTAAATATAAAAAACCAATAAATCAAAAGTATTGAAAGTAAACGGAAATCGAAGAAGAAATCGAAAGTACTACAGGAAAATAATATTACGCAAGCAATATACAATGTAAACAATCAAAAAGTCACCATCATATATAAATGTCATATATAACTGTCAATCAAACCCTAATTCGGTAACTAATGCTAATATGCTCGACACGGGGGTGTCACTTGTATGGGAAAACAGGCAACAGTCAAATTTAAACGTGCCAGGACCAACGACAAAGAAAGCAACATCTGCCAGGCATTGGCTATCTTTGTCACTCACATTGCTTAAATCATGATACTGCGGCCATTTTGCCAACAAAGAAGCTGGCCGGGCTGTCCTGGCAAGTGATTTAAAACAATTTTGCTTTTTACAATATTAAATTACCATTTGGATGTATTTAATGCGATTATTCAATTAACTGGTAAGTCAGAAATTACACACAAATACTTTATTCGTAAATACAACTAAGATGTAAACGTAGTTTTGTATTTTTAGATTTCAACTTTTGCAAAGACCCGCCGATAGAACTTGCCTGGCAGCGTACCTGTTTAATTAAACGTATTATTTCCTGATAATAATATCAAAACACGTAAGTACCTCTATAATTTATGATGAAAAATGATTTTGATTATGTTTTATATTATTTAAATACTTTATAACCTCAAATAATAGTAAGATCCTTGTTTATATCGCACAGCCCGTTCAAAACTGTATTGTCTTCAAAAAATGTTTACAGAACAAACAATTATTACAAAAACAATGTCCTTTTAATCTGATTTATACCTCAGAAGGATGCCAGTTAAATTTTTATTAAATCAACATTACATTATTTGGCCATTAATATGCAAAAAGGAGCATATTGCGTTAACTTAAATTTTCTTTTACTTCTCCTGACAATGTTCTCTATATTCTCTATTTTGAGTTAGTAAACTTTTGAACGGGATGTGCGATATATAAAATACATAATATATCCAAGGGCATGATCTGATAAAAGTATTTTTTGATGCATTTTTTGGTTGTTTATGCACATTGGCTTGGTTTATGTTTTATTCAGCTTATATTTATTTGGTATAACAGTTTTTTTTGCCTTTGGAATGGCATGCATTGAGGCTAGATAGTGTTTCATTAGACCATTAAAGAAATTTAAATTAGCATATATTTTTTGTGATGTTAGTGTGTTATCATGATACAGGTAGTTGTATCATAGTGCCTTATGCATGTTATTTACCTATTATATACTTATGTATTATCAGTAAATAGATGATAACATACTACTAAAATGTCTTTTTAATAGTATGTTTATCTTTCCAATTCACTACTTATTTGCAAAATGTATTTTGAACTAATTTAAGTCATTAATTGATCATCTTTCTTTTTCAGGTTTCGGGAAATTCTTTTTCATTGTTAAAAAAATATATATATTTCAATATTATTGTAATATAAATCGCAGCTCTAAAAAATAAATGATATTGTTTACTAATGTGTAATTTATTTACAATGAATTTTCTCTGAAAATAATGTCTTTAATAATATCATTGATTTGCTGTGTAAAGTTAATAGACATATTTTTTAATACATTAAATTATATTAAAGTAATAAAAATTATGTTTATTAACTTTAAACAGTAAGTCAGTGATACTTATAAAAATATTTTTTTAAAAATTTCCCCTCTTTTAAGCCCCGCCCCTCCAATTCCCCTCAATTTAGCAAGTACTGCCAGGCGACACCAGGTGGCGTCTGTTTCCATTTTTTAACATGAAGTTAGCATTTCTTTAATGTACCTATTCTCTGATGCTCGATATATACGTTGCCGCAGAATAAGAAATTACAAAATAACCTCAAATATTATTCCGCTGTAAACACATCGCTGTCAAAACATTACTCAAGCTAATTTTAATAAAATTACGATTTTGCAAGCCTTTAAGAGACTAAATACTATACTACTATATCAACACTTGTTCGATTCAAAATAAAGTTAAATCCGTATTATAATCATGGGAAAAACTATAGCATTTTTATAATAATGGTACATTCCAAGGAATTTGGGTAAAATATGAGAATATAAACCAAATTTAACTTGTTGAAATAGAATGCATCGTATTTAGCTTCGAAGAACTATAACGCAGTACGAGACAGAGAAATTTACAGTGAAATTAGATCCTTTTTTTTTGTTGTTAAAAGAAAAGTGTAATGCACCAGTAAATAAACATATTTTAGCCTAGAAATTATATTATTTACCAAATTGTTTTTAGATTTTAAAGAAATGGCGAATGTTCCAGGTGTGATAAAACAATAAACTAAATTCAAGAAATGTCCTAAAATTACAATATTGAGCCCAAAATAAATAAAATTAGAAAAGAAATCTATGAGAATATAAATCCCGTAACACATGGTCTCAACTGATCGTGAGCAGCTACTCTGATTCGTTGTCCTTTCTTGTGGAGCTGGTATCGTTCATGCGGTAAGACCTTTTTTTTCTTATTTTTTTTTAATTTATCTTATCCTAAGACCACTACTATCTTCACTATAATATAAGACTTTATTATAGTATTATTATTCTCCTTGATTAGTGTATCTACTCAAATAAATTTTGAATATTAGCAGTACAATCAATTATTTATTTTAATTTATAGCGGGAGTGCCACTATTTTTTTAAGAGTAAAAAGCACTCTCTTTTTTCTGATTTTAGTTTAATTTATCATGAAATTGTCAGTCAAGCCCATTCCTAACAGTTAATGCCTCTTATACTTTGGAAAACTAGTTCTATATCATTTAACATTTTATCCATTCTTTACATTCTACAACATGCTAGCCATGTTATTTGTGGAACCAACTATTATCAAAGTTTACAGGATACTATTACATTATGAATATTGCAATTTTATATCGCTTTCTCAGGGAATGCCTGTCGATTATCTAGCCACAAATAAAAACACATTTTTTTTGCTACAGGCTTTGGTACAAGTTTTATAATATTTTTTTTATAATAATTGTTTTAAATCAATGATTCTTTAAAAGAAAACATAATAACTCGTGCAGCTTGCGCGTCTCTAGGTAATTTGTGTCTAAAATAAACAACAACAAAAAATGCTTTGTCTTATAAAATGCATCTCGAACTGATAAGCTCCGAGCTCTGCGTCACCGAATTTTAACACAAGACTGTGGAGTTGCATTTTGTCAAAAAACTTTAGCTTAAAATAAAGAAAGATTTACCACAAAATAAGAAATAACACTTTGTGCTCTAAAACAATATTTGTGTGCTCTATACACCTTATAGACGAAATCTTAGACATTTTTTTATATAAAAGATGTTCTTTTTTTCTTTGAAATTTGAATCTACTTTCAACATTTCTACGGGTCTGGGTTATACAGGGTGTCCCAGAAATGAGTGCAGATATTTTAAGGGGTGGTAGATCTGGTAAAAGAGCATATTTTTCCTCTTTACCATTTTTAAAAAAAAAAAAAAAAAAAAAAAAAAAAAAATTAAAAAAAAACGACATTTTGAGAGCCACGGGAATCTCACTTGGATCCCCGGCGCGGGGGATAGATCTCGCGGATCTCAGCTTAACCGCCCACTTTATTTGCCACATCTGACTAGAAAAGACTTAAAAAAGTACTTTGCAAAATCCCACATCCAAAGAGGCGGGGCGGCCGAACTGGCCGTAGCCGTTCGCGGACCCGTGGGCGAGTTACCGGTCAAGGTCACGGGCGACATTCATTCGGGCTTCACGGCTGAGTTTACGCCCGCGCAGGTCGGCGCGCATCAGATTAGCGTGGATTACAATGGAAGACCAGTACAGGGAACGCCTTTTGTGGCCAAGGCCTTCGATTCGAATAAGGTGAATTTTGTGGAGATGTTGGGGCAACTTTGCGGAGTTGTTTTTTTTTAATTAAAAGTTTTTCGTATTCCATAAAATTAATAATTTCGTAAATAAATAACAAAGAATCTTTATAAGGTAAAATACTTAAAATTCTATTATATTATGTATGTATGTACATTTTCGATAATTAAAACAATCAACTTTTATTTGTGAGAAACTTGTGAAGAATTATACCGTAATGATCGAAAAAACGGCGTCAAAGACGGTTGGGAAATGAAAATAGATGGCAATTTTGGCGAGGTCAATTTCTAGATTTTATTTACTGAAAATTTGCATAAATCTTGTCAAAAATTAACAGAACGTTTCCAGACACACAAATCTATTTTCAAAAAAATATTTTTTATCGAATTTTAAACTACACCATTTAAAAATCATTTTGCTCAATATAAAAATTAAATACCACCTTCTTAAGGCCAACTGGCAGTAAGCGCTATAAAAAAAATAAAGAAGAGTACGGACCAAGTAAATGACGTCTTGACATCGCCAAAATTATCATTAATTTTTGATTCCTTAGCCGTCTTTGATGCCATTTTTTTTCGATCGGCATGGTATTATATTTTAACTGAAATTTAAACTTTCTTATCAGCAAGCGTTCAAGGCTATTTTGTTGATCATAAATTTAATTCCGGAATCATTTCATGAATAATTTTTTTTGGTATGATATTATTAATAGAAACATTATATTTGTGATATTAACTTAGTATACAGGGTGGTCCGAACTGTAATCCGGAAACTTCGGCAGAATATTCTACAGATAAAAATAAGTAGAAAAGTTCAGGGATACAGGGTGTAGAAGTTTTATTATTATTTGTATTTTTTTCTAATATTTCTGAAATAACATTACTATTTGGATAAAAATTGGTGCCTGAGATATTTTTCACATGAGAAATATGATTTTGAGATCAATATGACTCCTATTTGTAGAGGGTGCCACCTACATATTTTTTAACTGGTTTGAAGAGTAATATTTTTTTGTCCCTACTTGTATAAAACTACTGAGTAAAAACTTTACATTTAAGACGTTTTTTATTTAAAAAGTGTCCAAATTTATCATTTCAGTCAATAAATATTTTCACAACATGTTTTTGTCAATAATGACATGTATTAACTACTTCTAAGTATCTTGAAAACGGTTGCTCGTAACCATTTTTATCAAGAGAATTTTTTTACGTAAAAAATTAAGGGAATGTATATAGTACACCCAGTACTTTTATACAGGTACGGACGAAAATTTATTACTCTTCAAAACAGTTAAAACACATGTAGGTAGTACCCTTTACAAATAGGAGTCATATTATTGACATCAAGATCAAATTTCTCATGTCAAAAAACTCCCAGACAACAATTTTCATCCAAATATTGACTCTATTACATCAGAAATTATTTGGAAAAAATCGAAATAAAAATGAAACTTTTACATCCTGTATCGCCGAAACTAAGCATTTTAGGACATACATTTATACAAACTTTTTTATTTATTTTTATCTGCATAATATGCTGCCGAAGTTTCCTGAATACAGTTCGGATCACTCTGTATAGAAAGAATTAAGCCTGCAATAGTTGTTTTTTCATAAAAAAATATTTATTATTTCTACAAATTCATATTCTAATTATAAGAGTTCAGAAGAATTATTTTGAGTGTTTATATAAAGTAATTTGAAATTTTTATTGAAATTTTATTTTCATAACCGTTTATGATATGATTCTCTCTTTCTATTATCATAATTTCTTTGGTTTGGTTGATACATATTATTTATATATAATTATCGTTATAATATTTTTTCGATAAATTAAAGAAATGTTTCGGTTTTGAAAAATTGCAGCTTGATAAATAAGAAAGCCAAAGAAAGGCATCAATTTTAAAAAAAGCATTTTATTAAAAACTATCCTATAGTTGAACGAAATGAAGTAATAAATAACTAAAATTAATTTAATGGAATATGGATAAAAATTCAAAATATCTTTTTAAAGCTAACAAAAGACACTGTATGGCATTGAGAACGATTTGTTAAAGAAGACAAATCAAAATTAGATAAAGGTATTACAGAGAAATATATAACCAATCTTATATTTTAAAACTGATTGTTCAGGTTACTATAGGTAATATAAAATGCATTTTAATTTTTACCTTTTTTATAATTATGTAGATTTATACTAGTAATTTTATTAAGCAAACTTTATAAATACCATCTAATGAATCAAATAAATTTCAACGATATTAGTTTGAAAATAATATCTATATTATTCTGGTGTGTTTATTACTGGAAAAAAAATTGGCCACTGAAATAGAAATATAAAAAAATAAAAGTTTATTATAAGTAAAATTTGTTAGAATTCAAATAGAAGCAAGCTTGTACACGAGCTTACACCCAAAAACGGGCCACCCTGTACATTATATTCTTTTGCTTAAACGTCTAAAATGTCCTGTTTACAATATTTGTTTAAAAATGCCATACCGTTCTTTATATCATTGTATAACAACCCATTACATCCCCTTAATATTTACCTATATATTTATATTTGCAAATAGGTCACAGTAGGCACAGTAGCTCGCGGTACTGTCGGCAGACCTGTTACCTTTTCAGTAGACGCGAGCGAAGCTGGAGAGGGCAACTTGGAAATAACTATTTCGGCCCGCGGCTTGAACATTCCCACTCAAGTGCACCCTCAGGGCAATGCCAGATTTGCTGTTAGTTTTGTGCCGGCCGAAGCTTGCGACCACGTGGTCAATGTGGCCTTTAATAAAAGACCGGTTAGTTGATTATAGAGTTTAAATGTCTTTTTCTCTGCTTTGATTTATACACTGTGTCAATTTTAAAACTTCCCACCCTTAATATCTTTCTTGCAGTTAAAAATATGAAAAATCTGAAAGACACGTCATTTTTATTTGTGAGGGGGGCACTTTAAATGAATATTTTTAGCCTTTTTCTTTCAACCCCCTAGGAGGGGTAGATGTCACCCTCACAATCTTAAATGGGAATGGGGGTCAACTGGCACATCGTTTTAAAGGGCGTTTAATTCTCTTTTTAGTGGTATCCTACTTTTTTTTCAAAGGTTTCCGAATAATCGTGTTTCAATTGAGATTTTGGTTTTCAGGCTAGAGTTTATACAAAAATGATTGCAATGGATCTCCTTGTAGTACAAATGATTAGAATAAGAGGTTACACCACTTACGCTCTATCTTGTAAGTTGTTCAAAATGTTGTCCATTTTCCTGTAAACAATAATAGAGTCTGTTTTCAAACCCCTACCTGACATTTCGGTAAACTTCACCGGGAATTGACCGATATTTTGCTGTAATTCGCCTTTTAAGATCATCGATATCAGTAGGTTGTGTTTTATAAACTTTGGATTTAAGATGTCCCCGAAGAAAAAAGTCGAAGGGTGTTAAATCCGTTGATCTTGGAAGCCATTCAATTGGTCCACTTCGGCCAATCCAGGTACCCGGAAATCTCTCGCTTAACCACTGTCGGACCGGAAGAAAATGAGGTGGAGCACCGTCCTTCTGGAATGTTAACAAATCCTCCTGTAAAACTGGATTACCCTCTGCATTAATTTGAGTTTCTAGCTCTTGGGTGATAAAAGGATCAATAGTCTCTTGAAGCATATTAAGATGCAGATCAACTGTCAAGTTTCTTTCAATAAATAAAGGACCAATTCATTCAAGCATTTCCAAAAACACAAAAAATATGAGGGTTTGAGATAATTTGAGAAAAGAAACGTTAATGGTTATGATGTTTTCTGTTTATTAGTATTTCGACCCCCTAGAAAAATGGCTACGTCCATGTTACCACCTAATCTTCTAATCATTTGTACTACAAGGAGACCCATGCAATAATTTTTGTGTAAACACTAGCCTGAAAATCAAAATCTCAATGCAGGCATATTTAATTGATTCTGCAACTTTGGAACGCGATTATTCGGAAACCTCTGGACAAAAAGCAACAAAGTATGATACCACTGAAAAGAGAATTAAGAGCCCATTAAAACGATGTGCCACTTGACCCCATTCCATTTAAGATTGTAAAGGGTGACATCTACCCCTTCTAGGGGTTGAAAGAAAAAGGCTAAAATATTTATTTAAAGTGTCCCCGTTACAAATAAAATTGACGTGTCTCCGATTTTTCATATTTTTAACTGTAAGAAAGATATTAAGGGTGGGAAGTTTTAAAATTGACACTGTGCATACCTATATATTTAAGAAATCTCTAAAAAAATGGACAGTATACAGGGCGATTCACGGCCATGGTACGTTAGACGTTTTTGGAGAACCAGTGATAGGATTTTTTTTGAAAATTTAGATCTATGCATAAAGGCACCTGCTCTATATGTCTAATTTATTTTCAGCATTACAACTTCATACTAAAAGTGATAGGATCTTTGTCATTTTAAATGGGACACCTGGTATATTATTATATCTCATAATTTTTCTATTATACTAACCTATATCTATCTCTATTTGACAAAAACATGATCTTCAATAGCGTTGGTTAACTCATAAATTCGGCATATTGAAAGCTGAAATTTGGTTTACAGGTTATCGAAAGTCGACATATTCGATCTGTCTAAATCTATCGATTGCATATGAAACAGGGAGATTAAAAAATATTTCCGTTTATTATAGAATCGTTCAAATCATTGTTATTTTAAATTTAGGCCTATGTATATTAAAAATCGAAATATAAACAAAATTGCTTTTCGAATGTAATACCACAAGATGTTTCGGGATAACCGAATAATACTTTTACCTGACACGAAATGCGTTACCCAGCAACACTACGACTCTGAAGGAGTAGTAGAGTTGCCGGTGTCGCATTGAGTGTCAGGCAAAAGTATTAGGTAATCCCGAAACATCGAGTTATTCAAAAGATTATAAAACGAAATAAAGTACATATATCCTTCTTATCTTAAACATATTTTTATTATAATAATTATTATTAATAACAAACCAAATCTTTCTTTTGCCATTGTGTAATAAGAATTGACTGGATATTTTGTGGAACTAACAGAAATGACTTCTGAATTTATATTTAAAAAAATGACAATTACAATATGGCCACCCAGCGATAATCACTTATTAATCACATCCTTCTATATAGGAAAAAAATAGATAGTTGTATAATCACCGATATATCATGTTCATATATCTGAACCTTCTGGTTTGTTCAGTAAAGTCATTTAAAAGATAATAATTCTATTGTAATTGTTTCGTTTAAAGAAAATTGTTACCATTACAACTATTCAAACTTTATATGTATCACTATTCTTGCTAAATTTCTAAAATTATCATATTAACGAAATTCTTGAAATGAAACTATAATAGAATTATTAATTTTTAAATAGAATCTACTTATAAAACCGAAAGGTTTAAGTACAGAAGAACAAGATATATCGTTGAAAAGTAATTTTATTAGTCTTTTGATTTTTAAAAAATAAATATAGGGTTGAATTTAAAATAACAAAGATTTGGCCAATTTTATAACAAACCGAATTAAATATTTTTTGCTCTCTTCCTGTGTAATATCCAATCAGTTAATTTAGACAGATCGAATATGTCGACTTTCATTAACTTATAACCCAAATTTCAACTTTTAAAATGTTCAATTCATGATTTTATCAACGCTTATTCAATATCATGTATTTGCCAATTTTACACATGTTTTATTTTTTATCTCAAAAACTATTAGAGATAGGTATAGATTAGTATAATAGAAAAATTATGAGATAGGAAAATAGTTTTTAAAAATGTAATAATATACTAGGAGTTATATTTAAAATAAAAAAGATGCTACCACTTTTCGAATGATGCGGCAACACGTAAAGCTGAAAATATTTTAGAAAGATGGAGCAGGTGCCTTTAAGTAAAAATACAAATTTTCACTAGGAATACCACTAGAGGTCAAATTATTTCCGGAAACTTTTTTGAGCTCATAATTTTCTAAAAATATTCATTTAATTTGACCTCGGATATTCGGTAAGAAAATTCCACACCAAATTGTGTTTGAAAATCAAATAATAGCCTATAAACTGTTGATTTTTACTGATTGTAGTAGCTCAAAAGTGCCATTTTAGGACCTAAAATATTATATTCTTTCATTTTATAGTTACTTAGGCAACAAGTGGTAGAAAATCATAATTTAAAAGGTTTTTCGGAACGCTCATGAACAGATTTACAGCGCGTCACAGTTTTGGCAGCAATTTAGACCTTAAATTGTTGACTTCTACTCGTTTTAGTTGCACGAAAATACCATCTCAAGACACAACACAATATATTCTTTAATTTTACATAAGTTTTTGAGCAAGTGGTAGAAAATTGCTTTTTTGCATTTTTATTAACTTTTCATAAACGCTTGATTGGTATGGAATTCATAACCAGCGCGCAGCGTTAGCAAGCGTCAATCATAAAAGGCTGTGATCATCGTATTTTGACAGTTCAAAATATAAAAAAAACTCGCGTTTTGTTATAATAAAGAATATTGCGCAACTTGAGAAACCAACAAAGTTTTTGGTTTTAAAAATGAATCGGTTTGAAAATCATACCACATGCAAAATATGCGTGAAATTGTCTGATGTAATGATCAATCATCGTGCGATGACTTATTTACCAGTATTAATAGAGGATTGTGGGTCCTACTTGAAGAAAGAAATTTTGTTTCGAATTATTCACGAATATTTGCATCTAGACTACTCAAAATTCAAAGTGCTAAATAGAAAAAAGGTGAATAAAATAGTGTCTAAATATTATATACCGGGTGTTGCATCGTCGAGCGGGACATAGGAAATCCCATGTAAATTTTAATGGGGTCAATTATTGGCTTCCCTAATTATTTTGGAGAATAATTCTATTTAGGTTTATTGAAGAGCACTGAAACCCACATTCAAAAGAATAACTTTAGATATTTTTGATTAGCCCGTTTACGAGTTATCGCCGATTTCTTTTTAAATATTTCTCCTTTCTTATGGCCATGTATTTACTTATGTGCACCAGTCAAGGTAAAAGATAACTGTCAAATGAAGTTGTCATTTTAGAAATTTATCTATTTAGTGCTTTATTATTATTATTAAAAACTCATACCTACATCGAAAATATTAGTCATGAATTACACTACCGAAGAAAAAGTATTGATGATTAAATGGTATTATCAAGGAAATAGTTATCAAAAGGTGTCGGACATGTTTGCTGCTCTGTATCCGAATAGACCGATAC